AAACTAAAGGACATTGATACATACACCCTTCAAAGTTACACACTCCGTTACACATTCATTATTTCCGTTAATATGCCGTTAAAATTGATGAAAGCTATTAGTTTTAACAAGAGAAATAATGAAAATCATCAATTTTAACGGCACAAGTAATGAAAACCATTAATTTTAACGGCACACTAATGAAAACCGTCAATGTCTAACAGAATGTGTAACTTTGAAGGATGTATGTATCATTTCCCTAAACTAAAACAATGATAAACTGGATTAAAATTTTAAATCAATAATGTAACACAAGTTATATCATTTAAAATATTAAAAATTTGATTTTATATTATTTAATAATTATCTCTTTCACTTTGTTAAAACATGTGATCTTATATGTATTAATTCATTTAATGATCTAATTTATACTATGTCATTCATTCTAAATTTTTGTTCCTTTTTCATCCTACGTATCACTACTCATTAAACTAATTTATCAACCTCAACTAGAAAAAAATGAAATGAGATTTAAAAACAAATCATTAAATTAACAACAAAACCATTTAGAAAAATTAAATTAGTTCTGCTCATACATGATTTTCCTTTTTCTAAAACCAAACCATGGAGATAAAAAATGACAATATTATGATTTCTTAGCCAATTTCTTGATTTTTAATTTGCATCATAGAGTTAGCAATCAATAATCAATCAACTTGATTCTTTTTATTTTTTTGCTAAATACTGTAAATTTAATCAAGAATCTAATAAAAAAACTCATTTAATAAGAGTGTGTGAGTTTTAATTATAAATTGTAAAATGAACAAATTTTAATGTTCATCGCGCTCACAAATTCTAGAGAAAAGTAGGTATATTTAAGTCTCTTTAGCACCATACAAGCTACCATTTATTAGGGAATGCATTGAAAAACCAAAACAAAGGAAGAAAAGAGAAACCAAAAAACATATTTTTAAAAATTTTTGTTTCATTAAAAATAAAAGTATTTAATAAGTCAGATGACATAGGCCCCATGTTGTTTCCTGCTCAATAGAGTAGAGTAAGCCACAAGCAACGTAGTTTCTGATGGAATAATGATGTCATCCGTCAAAGAAGGGTTTATTTGCCACTACTGAAGAGTTCAAGGAGTTGTATGTTGTTAAAATTGGTTTAGGAGCTAATATGCCACCAATCAACAAGTTGAAGGGTTATTTTGCATGATTTGCCAAATTTCATTTGCCAATTGACCCACTTGAACCTCTAAATTCTGCATTGATGCACTTTGGTTCTAGACCACTACTTCCAAGCTCTTAGTAGCTACTCCTAGATTTTCAAGCCTTAATTCATTAACAGTTATATGCCTTTTTAGCAAGTCCTCCAAATCTAACTATTTCTCAAGTGGTTATTGAAATTCTTGAGGTTGCTTTACCATATTTTGATTGTTATTCCATGAGAAATTAGGATGATTTTTCCAACCAAGATTGTAAGTGTTGAAGTAGGGATTATTTTGTGGCCTGATAAAATTACTAATAAAGTTAGCACTCTCATATGATTATGGAAAAAAATTACTAACTTGACATTTAGTGCTTGCATGTCCTCATCCACACCAATCACAATTAACATTCTGGACCTGTTGAGTAGAAACATTCAATTTATGAATTTCTTATGGAGGGCCTTCACTTCAGCAGTTAGAACTTTGAGAGTGTTGACTTCATATGTTCCAACACTTCTTTTTATTGGTGTTCTTTCATAATTCCATTGGTAATTATTTGAAGTCATCTCTTCTATTAGTTTATAAGTTTCCTCAGGAATTTATTTATTAATGATTCACTTGTAGCTACATCAATTATGGTACGAGTATGTGGTTATAAACCATTGTAAAAATTATGTACTATAACCATATAACTAAACCATGATGTGGGCATTATGTAACTCTTTATATCTCTCCCATGCCTCATATAATCACTCCATGTCCAACGGCATAAAAGTAATAATGTCATTATGTATCTTAGTGGTTTTGGAAGAAGAAAAGTACTTACCAAGAAATTTGCTTGTCATTTCATCCCAACTAACAATTGAGTCCAGACATAAAGAATAAAACCAATTCTTTACTCTATCCTTCAAAGAGAGAGAAAAGTTTCAATCTTTTTGCATCTTCTAAAACTTCATTATACTTGAATGTGTTACAAATTTTTAAAAATTTGGCAAGATGTTCATTTGGATCTTCAATCAGCAATCCACTAAATTAAACTAATTGTTAAATCATATAAATGCAAGTTGGCTTAATTTCAAAATTGTTAGCTTGTATTGCTAGTTTTCTTATATATAAGGCCACACCATCTATTGAAGGTGATTCATATGCTTTCAAGGTTCTTGCAACAGTCTCTTCTACTATCTGATGGGGCTGATTGACAACTAAAACATCTTTCTTTTTGTTCAAAAGGTGAAAAGTTCAATCTATCTTAGGATCAAATGGTGCAAATTTTATGTTTTCAAAATGATTCTTATTTGCACACTTGCAAAACAAATAAAAGAAAAAAATCAAATTAAAACTAAAATCAATTTGCTTTGATATTAATTAGGATTACTATAGTTCCTCATAAATACATCAAAAACTTGATGAGCTAATTTTATTTGAGTTAAGAGTACCAGTCATTTCAAGTAATATAATGATGAAAGTTAAGTATCATCTCACAAAAAACTATAGACTAATTAATTAACAAAATTAATTAATTCTAATATTATTTAAACAATTGTAATTAAATAATTTGAATAAATTGATTAACTAAATTGATTTTAAACAACACTAATAATTAAAATTCTAAGGTATCAGATTTCATCATAGTCAATTAATATAGAATTTAGATTAATATATTTTCAAGATATTTATTATTCATGTGATTGTAGGATTTTCTATTTATTCAATATATTTTCTTAAATTATACCAAACTTGTTTTCACCTATCAATGCATTATATCTCTATATGAATTTAAAAAGATAAAAATGCATTATATTCTATGAAATTCTTTAATTTATGTAAAAAATCAAGTCTACTTATCACTAATGTTGCATGAATCACGATGATTTGTCTTTGACTTCCATTCAATTTATAGTATTTACTACTAGAAGTTATTGCATAAAATTTTCTTTTAGTTTCAATTATGCTAACCAAATTAGTTTTAATGGTGATTAATCATTAAAATCCATTAAAAACAATAATATATATTTTACATGAAATAATAAACTTTGAAAATATAAAAATTATAAAATTCTATATCAAATTGATTAGATTACATTTTTGTCATGGCTAAATTAGTTTATAATTAAAGAAAATAAAATAAAAAATATCACGATAAATATAAAAGTATCTAACATTATAAAATAAACTTTAAGAAAAAACAAAATTAGTTTAATGATATAAAATTTTATGTCTTGATCTTCTTTTTTTGATGTGAAATTTCTTTTAGCCATTGGTTTTTTCTGAAAACCTCAAATCTGATTTTTAAATGAATATTTATAAAATTTAAAAGTCTTTTTGGAAAAGAAATCGGGATTAGGACAAAACAGGAAATTCAAATGCTGGACGTGCTTAAAGCCTTAAAGCATAGTGCTGACACCACGGAATACGTGTACCATGTTGGGTAAAATAACAGATTTGGTCCTTCAGATTTTATATGATGAGTACTTTGATCCCATAACCAAAGTTTCATTCATTTAGGTCCCAAAAAAACCTTTCTTCAGTCCCTCAACTTTCAAAATATATTCAATTAATCTCAAAAACTTATAATATTATGCATAGTTTCTTTTCTGCACCAAGAATGAAAACAATATAAAATCTATTGAAAATTACATATTATCTTTGTGAATAGTAGTAATAAAATTAAGGCTAAAATAATATATTAAAACACATAAAAATGCTTCTTATCAAGGTTTAAGCCCGAACCATTCTTTTTGTGCTTGAACCTAGCCTAAACCTAACCTAAACCGTTCTTTTTGTGCTTGAACCTAACAAATCAATGAAAAACCTGCTTAATTTTGAGCTGTTTTATAGTTTTTGATTAATTAACTGAAATTTGTCCACCCCTAGGCCTAGCCCTTCAACCCTTTAAATATGCCACTACTTGAGAATGAAAGGATAAAATGGAAGAAAGTCATACCATCAATGAACATGAGAGGTCTAAGAGTCTCACTTGAAGAAGCTTGAAATTGTCTCTACCTGGAAGAGAATAGAGTAACAGACATGGTGATTCTCTAGCTAACTAACATAGGGGTACATGCATCAAAACCAACTTCAATTAGCTATAAAAGGTTACCAAATAACTTAGTATTAAATCTAATATCAAGATATGCACATAGTCATACAAAGTATATGCATCAAATAAACTTCAATTAGCTATAAAAGTTTACCACATAACTTACTTTTGTTTCTTGAGAAATGACTCTCTAACTTATACATATATCATTCTCTTAATTTAAATTAATACTACTTTAATTAAATAACTTCAATTCAATACCAAGTTAATCAAACTAGTAAGAAAACAAAGGCAAAACCTTACATTAAGCTCTCAAACTTATCTCAAATTCTTGATTAAGCCCTTAAATTTTTATTAAAACAAATAAGCCCCTAAACTTGTTGATATAGACAATTTAACACTTTTTTTATGATAAATTTGATATTGGTTTATGCCTTATTTAAGTAGATAAGATCAATTTTTACCACATAGGCAATGACTTGTCAATATTTTATCCATGCAAGTAATACACAAATGAACATTAAATCTCTGGTAAAGAAGATGGGTTAAATTGTCCTAATCGTCAGGTTGAGAGGCATATTTGCTTCAATAAAAATTTGGAGACTTAATTGAGAAATTTAGGGGCTTCATGTAGGGTTTTGCCAAAAATAAAAAAGCGATAGAAGGCAAAACGCGTTGGATTACTATTTTTTACATTTTCGGAAAGGACAGTCTGGTAATTACAACGATCACCACTCCCATTGCAGTTGACATCTCTCAAGCTGTGTCTTTGAATCCACGTCTCCGCCACTGAAAAACATCTCAACATCTGACTCTTCCTTCCCACCTCACCGCAATCTTCAACTCCAATCTCCGCGTCCGATAAAGCACACTCCGATTCTGATTCCTCATCCCCACATTCCTTTCCGCAACTGACATGTCCTTCGAGGAAGAGGAGTCTCTCGAGCACACCCTCCTCGTCGTCCGGGAGGTCTCCGTCTACAAAATACCCCCCCGCTCCACCTCCGGCGGCTACAAGTGCGGCGAGTGGCTGCAGTCTGATAAGATCTGGTCCGGTCGTCTCCGGGTGGTATCTTGTAAGGACCGATGCGAGATCCGGTTAGAGGATCCGAACACCGGGGAGCTATTCGCGGCTTGCTTCTTGCAGCCTGGCCAGCGCGATAACTCGGTCGAGCCCGCCCTTGACTCATCCCGGTACTTCGTACTCAAGATCGAGGACGGACACGGGAAGCACGCGTTTATCGGGCTTGGCTTCAATGAACGGAACGAGGCGTTTGATTTCAATGTGGCGTTGTCTGATCACGAGAAGTATGTAAAGAGAGAGCAGGAGAAGGAAACGGGGGAGACGAGTGATAATGAGAATCATATTGATATCCATCCTGCGGTTAATCACAGATTGAAGGTATGCTGAATGAGTATAGATAAATGTCTAGTTATTGTTATAGTATATTTCATCAAATCGAATGTGGAGAATGGATACTAACTGATTGATTGACAAGTTAATGGTTTCTGTATGTATTGGGTTGGTTGTGATTTGGAACTAACATCAGAAATTCTGAATTGCAAGTTGTGGAGCCTGGGACTGACTTATTGTAAAATAAATAACATGGTTTTGAATTGGATTTGGAATCTGCATTTTGTTGATTCTACTTTATTCACTATAAATGGTACAATTGTATGAATTTTGATACATTCTGTTTTTTTGTTCATATTATAGGTGGATTTTGATCTTACTGTTTTTTGGGTGGTAGGAAGGTGAGACCATCAGGATAAATGTAAAGCCGAAGCCAACGAGTGGGACTGGCATGCTTTCAGCGGCTGGGTTGTCAGGTGGGCTTGCTGGAAGTGCAAAGCCTAAAACTTTGGGACTTGCCCCGCCACCCAGCGGCACAGGTAAAATAAGATCTCCTCTCCCACCCCCTCCAAATGACCCTGCTGCTGTTCGGATTACCTCGTCCAGTCTCAAGGCACCAAAGGAAAACACAAGACGACCTGATCCTCTATCAGATTTTTCTCAGCTTGAGGTACACTTCTATCCTCATCCTTTGCAATGCATGATATGTTCCCTGTGCTCTAGGAACTTAGCATTAGCATGTTTTTCATAACCTTCTCCAAACTTTAGGTGTTTTTGATGCTGCTTCTATCTTTTTCTCAAAAGTGTATTTGATTGAATGTACTGGCTGTTGGCTTGTAATCACCTAGTTGCATCTCAGTTTGTAGATACTAGATAAGATGATAATTGAACTTGATGCCAAGGAATAGTTGTATCCATAATGGAGGGATTCTAATTTTTCTTGGTGATGTTGAGTCCATTTTTGTTCCATGTAACTAGTTTGTTGGTATTTGCAGAGGAATCTCCCTTCTGCTACTGGATCAGCATCTACGAAGACCACTGCATCAGGATGGGCGGCTTTCTAATTGTGTGAACATTTGTTCAGTATGTAAAATCTTTTATTTGGTTATTTTTTGATTTCAGAAAGAAAATGAAGATAAACATAAAAAGAAAGGACACGGTACTTCACAATTCCATATTTGGAATAATATTTCCAAGATCACTATTGATATGCTCCTCTTAACTTACTTGAATTGAATTTTTATGTTCATGCTTTTGTTATAAATAAATATTGTAGGGAAATGATTTTTCTTGTTACATTGTAGTGTTTCTTAATCTTGGTTGCTACCCTCATGCACACCATTATTAAAGTGGCCGTGAATCCTGTCATACGTTTGAAGAACTATCATCTAGTTGTTCTCTTAGTAAAACCATAAAATCGAGTGCAAACTATTTACCTTGTAGTAGGGTGGAAATAATGAAGAAAGAAAATTTCAGTTGAACCTTTGATGTATCTCATTTCGTTTTCTTCTCAAGGGGTGTTTATAGTGAAACAGATGAGTAGTTAATCGCAGCCTGCAACAGTACGTTGATTGACGGTTTTGTTTTCTGGTTACCTGAATTGGAATTCTAAAGAAAGGCAAGTAAATAGCAACTGACAAGCATGTTGGAGTAAAATTTCATCTTTGCAAAGAGCCTTATGGTTCTGGGTGCGAATGAAATGGGATGGAGTCGAGGGACCAAATGTGACCTTTAAAGGTATAAAATGACTCGGATGAACAAGAACAAATTAAGAGGAATGCGCCAAAAAATCAACGATATGTGCCACGTGCATTAGTAAAAAACTGAAATCTTTTCTTCGTTTGTTCTTGACCATCTTTCAGCCAACCATAATGGCGATGGTCTACAAAAACTCATCTAAAAACATAAGGCTGTTTTCTATTTTTTTTTTCCTTTATGTACACTTTGACGGTTAAACCACGGTTTCTATCCAAATAATGTGTTCCAAAAATGAGAACTAGCATGTGAAGGGGGATTCTTTTCATCAGCCTATGTAGACCACTCCCATTGACAATGGAAGACGCTCCCAAAGCATGCACCCCACTAGAAAAATTTTTGAGATGATATTACAAAAACCATCAGACTAAGAAACTGAGAATAAGTCTTGTATTTTGGCCGTTGGGCGACAAGTCTCAGATCAAGGAAATCACATCTGTTGATACTCAGGCTTTAGAACCCAGCGTGAGCTATTTCTTTCTTTCTCCAGTATGGCGATCTCCTTGAGTAGATTCTTAAACAAGGGCAAATCCTTCGGAGGGATTCTGTCCCTGAAGTGCTCAACGATGCTGCCTGAATCAGTGCTTCCACCTCTTTGTTGAATAAATGTATGTATCTGACGTATCAATACCTCAGGCTGGGTACTAGATGTGTTGGTAGATGACCTGGAAGTCCTATTAGTTGTAGCTCTCGTCCTGTTAGCTGAACTTGTAATTGACCCAGACTGATGTTCAAGTCCAGCACCAACTGCTCTTTCTTGGTTTCCTTGAATTCTAGCCAGTAATTCTGCAGAAGATAAAGCCTTGCCAGCAGCAGCCCCAGCCGCAATGCCATTGCTGGATGATTCATTTGAGCTTTTAATTAACTGAGTGTTCAAGGTTGAGCCAAACTTCTTTCGAACCAATGATGGTGCACCAGCAGTTCCTGATTTTCCAGTCCATGTTGGAACAGAGACACTATCACGACTCCTATGAATTCGTGACTGCCGTAGTGCTTCTGCTGCTCTTTGTGCCACTTGTGAGGCCTGCTCTTCAAGCTTCATCTTCTCTTCATCATGGGCATCCATAATGGCATCATGGTTCATGGCACTCTGGAGAGAAGAAACAAAAAAGAGCATGAATTCACCACCTAGGAAAAGAAGGAAAGAAAATGGTATAAAGCTAAATGATAAAAAAAATTTTAAATGACAAGTCACCATGACCTTTGAGATGTATACCCATAATCATAACTTTGGGACAGTCACCATGACCTACCATTAGACAAGGGAAATCATAATCATAAACAAAGAGATAACTTACATGTATACCCTGGGCATCAAAAAGACTTCTGAGAATATTTGTTTCTTCATCTACCTCACCATCACTGGGATCAGCTTTTTCTTTCCCTTTCCCACTGAGGTTTGAGCAGTTTCCTTTTCCACTTGGAGCATGAGTAGCACTCCGTCCACCAATTTTGGGATGTTTGAGCTTATCCTGCTTATCTTTCTGAGCACCAACAATGTTTACATCCTCAGACAACTTGCCAAAAATGTTGGATGTTTCGGTTGAACCACTCTCTTCATCATCATTCAAAGTAAAAAGATCCTTCATATCCCGAGCTTTAAAGAGCCTTCTTTGCTTGGGATTCTTCAGCACCTTATTGGTTAGATAATGCTTGTAAATCTGCCGGTGGTACACTTTCTCCTCAATAGTTCCACGAGTAATCAGTCTATACACAGTTACATCTCGTTTCTGACCAATACGCCAAGCACGCTCCCTTGCCTATCATAAGCAACAGCTCCCCTCAATATACGAACATGCATACTAAAATAAAACTTCACTTTTTTCACAAAAACTTGTGGTTGTTGCCATCATCAATATTGTTAAAGCCACCAAAATTTTGGTTTTTTTTTCTTAATCAGTGTTTGAAAATATCAGTTTATTGACTGATTTTAATTTCTTAACTAGTATCAACTGTTCTATCAATTATAGTTAGTAGTTACAATTATTAGCCATTTTTATCAGTCAAATTAAATAAAATAAGTATTTTTAAAGACAATGTTTTACAGTTTTGGTGGCCATAACATTCGTTGGCGGTCATAACCGTGCCCCAATCTTTTAGTTCAGAAAGATATCCAAAGAACCAAAACAGTACAGCAACTGCAATTATCTCATAAACAGGAATATCAGGTTAATCAAAATTTTGTGATAACAGATGTTTTGAAATCTCATCTTAAATAAATATATCAAGAAGACAACAGACAAAGACTCAAAAAATACCTGCATATCAGTCGATGGGTTCCAATCAGGGTCAAAGATGATCACCCGGTCAGCACCAGTTAAATTTGTCCCCAAACCACCAACCTTTGTTGTCAAAATGAAGATAAACACATCATCAGAGTTATTAAATTCGTCAATTAAGGCCATTCTCTGCTTTACGGGGGTGAGACCATCCATTCTCCTATAGCTATAATCACCAGAATTTAAGAAACTCTCAAGAATATCAAGCATTTGTTGAGTTTGAGCAAACAGGAGAACACGGTGACCCTGCTCCTTCCAAACCTTGAGGACTTGGGAAACAACTTTCATTTTGCCACTGCGTTCAGGATTCCCATAGTCTGGATGCTGGCAGGAATGTTCTCTCTCAAGCAGATCAGGGTGATTGCAAATCTTGCGCATTACATCAATTCCATAAAGAGAATTTTTACTTCCATCCAATATCTGTTCTACATCTGAGCTAGCAAGAAATGCTCTATAGACAGATCTTTGTTCAGTAGTAAGGCTGCAGAAGAGGACATGTTCAGTTTTCTGGGGCAGTTGGACATTCACATCAGCTTTCATGCGTCGAAGGAGATAAGGCATAATCAGGTCACGTAGCACAACTGCACACCTGCATGATGCAAATTTGTCAAATTTACAGTCTAAATATTATTCACAAATGAAGAAACACAGAAGTTTCTTTTTGCTGAGTGAGAAGAAAAGGAACCAAAGGCACTTATGAATTTGCCTTCACATGTAACAGTTTTTGCTTTGCCTTCATTTTCTTCTATGTCTTCCATTCAAAAGAAGCATAGGGGTGCATGTTCTAAGGAAAACAAAAAGTTTCAGAGATATGCAGTTTCTACCTATATGCTGTAGATACTTGTAATGGTGAAGCATTGGCATATCCTCCAACAGTTATAGGGACAGAAAACTCTGCTTCAAACACAGGCAAGACCCCCAATTTACCAGGGAAAACAAAATCAAATAATGACCATAATTCAGTCAGCTTGTTTTGTATTGGAGAACCAGTCATTATTACTCGGTGAACTGTCTGCAACTGCTTGCAAACCAGAGTGATATCAGCATTAGGATTCCGAATCCGGTGTCCTTCATCCAAAATGGCATAACCCCACTCAATATCAAGCAACTTTCCCCCTAGTAATCTAAGTTGCTCATAGGTTGTTATAAGCAACCCAGATTTTGATTTTAGAACTCGATTTATCAAGGAATCCCATTTTTTTGCACTTTTAGATGATACTTTTTCCTCATAATCACTGTCAAGCGAACCTTCACTTTCAGAATCACTTCCATATGATTTTGCTCTCTTGTTTCTATAAGAGGGATCCCAGGCAGAATCATGTAGTAGCTCCACACGAGATCTCGGGTACCATCTTCGTGCTTCCCTTTTCCATTGCCGCAAGAGTGTAACAGGACATATAACAATACTAGGTTTGTACATATTACTGAAATGCATTGCTCCCAGGAAAGCTAAGACCTGCACAGTCTTACCAAGACCCATTTCATCCCCAATAATCCCACCTGCTCTTTGACAATGCAATTCCCACAGCCATTGCACTCCCACTTTTTGATAGTCAAAAAGTTTGTCAAAAATGTTCTCTGGAATTTTCAGCCCCCCTTCAAGTGTTACATATGAGTTACCATCATCTAAATCCTTGACATCTTGTTTTTCTTCCTCATCATGGGCAGTGATGGAGCCCTCTCTCTTATCTGCAAAGTTTTAGAAAGAACCAACAAAGCTGAGAAAAAATCTCAGTTGACAAGGATTGCAGCACATACAAACAGCAACATACCCAAGTGTACAAACAACAGTTACATCTCTGTTTGTAATCAATTAATTGGTTCATAATTAGCAGAAGGAGTATATCATGCTAGAATGATTAACTATTACACTCATCCATTTCACTTCTTTTTGTAGGGGGATTTAAGTCCTTGACATGTGAATACAACATTGAAGCTGAAAACCAGTGAGCCAAAGGTTGAGTTGTAATCAAAATTGTATTGTCAACCTGGGAAACTGATTCTGTGCTAGATATTTAGAAAGGATATGACCCCAAAAATTAAATGAAACTGCAGGCAAAAGTTTATAAAAAAAAAAAAAAGAGGAAGCAAATTTAACTTTAGTTGCAGATGGTAGTTGTGATTTGGGGGAAAGAAGCTCAATACTAATTAACAACAATAAAACAACACAATTATATAATAGCTACAAAAACTCTAATATCCTCAACAAGGACAAAACTTGGCATACCTTCTTCCTCATCCTCCTCTTCCCAATGCTTTTCCTCACGGGAAATGAGTTTTCTCCATTTCTTGTCAGGTAAAGGCCGTTTCTTTTTATTTTTTGAACATTTACCATCCTCTCTGTCTTTATCTGACGATTGGTGATATTTTAAAGGTGCTTTGAGCCTCTGAAAAGGAAAGGTGGGTCCACTAAGTTTCGGCAAAGCTTCAGAATCAAGTATCTTGGTAGTTGGGCGGCCTGTTACAGCCTTTGATATTGATTCTGCAGCTCTGGCAACACTTGCAGAGAGAGGATCATCATTCTCATCTTCAGGTATGTCAGCCACTTTAGATGTCCCAGGTTGTTGAAGGCGGCGTTCAAAACCCTTGAGCTTATGAAACGGAGTTAATATTCCCTTCCGAATCAATTCATCCCTTTCCTAAATCATGAATAGCAAAAGGTAAAGGTTAGCAGCCTTCTTCTTCCTCCTTTTTTTTTTTTTTTTTTTTTTTTAATTTATTTAGAGAATGTAGGCAGGGTTTTTCAATAAATGTGATTCACAAACTCAATTTCTAATATGTAGGCAAAAAAATAAAAAAAAATTTACTGACATGAAAAGAAACTATCTAATAACTTATGCCCCACCAATAATAGCAAGCCAACAAGTCAGAACTAAAAAGCTAAAAAATTAACTCACAGTTTCAACAAATCCTGCAGATGCTGCATCCAACACTGCATCAAAATCATCATCATCAACAAGCTTAACTGTTTTGAACTGCTTTTCTTTATTTTTGTTTGGTTTCTGAATTTCTTTCAACTTTCTCTTTGGTTCTTCCTTCACCAGGTCTTGAATCAACTTGTCATGCTCAATGCCCTTCAGAGTGCCATCACTGGGCAAAACTGACAGTTCTTTCTCAAGCTGAGCCCTAGTTTTCTTAAGACTTCTTAGCCTGTCAGTAGCTAGGGCATGCTGAAGCAAATCACTTGAAGACACTCGGCTGACGTTTTTATCATCCTGTTTATTCCCTTTCTCAGCACCATCATCAGCTCGATCAGGATGGTCATCCTCATTTGCAGCATTTTTGGCCTGTTCAATGGTGGAGGCAACAGCATCTATTTCAAACTCTACAGCTCTCAACTTAGTTAGGAGTTTGGCTTGGTTGGCAGATGATGGATTAATACTATCTGACTTGTCAACAGGCTCCTCCTCGGTGCTCCCTCCCACTTCACTACTATCTTGTGCATCATTTTCCACCTGTCATTCAACAATTGACATTGTCAATGTCAAAACTTTTTACCTTTCTTATCAACTATCTACATTGCACTTTAGAAAAAGAACTAGAAACCAATGCATAAAATTTATTTGATATGCTCATTATCAACACATATCCAAATACAATTAATCACCATACTATCAAAACAGTATCTGAAAAGATCAAGAAAAGAACTTTAACTCATACCTTGGCTAATATGTCACGCTCAATATCTTCAGGATTTGCAGATGTCACACCCAAACTACTCAACAAGATTCTATCGTCTTCTTCCTCCATTGAGTTGCATCAATCACTCAGCTCTAATTCGGAATCGAGACTGCATCACATTACTTCTCCAACAAACCTCATTTCCACCTAAAATAATTCTAAGTGATTAATATAGTATAATCAACTCATGAATTTTAAGTTAAATTTACATTAATAAAGCCCACAAAATCAAAGTAAAACAAAAATTAAAAAAAAAAAAAAAAAAAAAAACTAATTTATAAACACCATTTTCTTTCCAAGTTCCTCAACGAAAAAGAGTAATTTTCGAGAACTAAGCTAAGTTACTAAGATTGTCAACCATGAAAATCAGGAATTATTTCGACCCCTAACATACACGAAACTGTATCCACAGAGGGAATGGCAAACGTTCTTTCGTTCTGCAGTTTTCTTACGACGAAGAAGATATAACAAAATTTCAAAGCCGAGATCGATCGATCGATCAGTTCTTCCCTAATTTATAATGAAACTGGATGAACTGCCTTCGATAAAGAGCTCGCAGACATACCTAAGCTTGAAAACCCCAATATTTAGAAGAAAATCAAGCAATCCAACCCGTTTTTAAATCAATTACGTACAGTGATCGTAGATTCCGCCGGAACAGAACTCTTGAGTTCACCGATCCTGCGATTTGCTTTCACTTTCTCTCCCTTTCCCCTCCTCCATTTCTTCTTTCCCTTCTCCTCGCCTTATAATTCGGGCAAAAACCTACTTCTAGCCCCTCACCTTACTAAGTTTGAAGGTTTTAACCACTTATCTTATATTATAACACTTTAACCCCTCATCTTATTAATTTATAGGTTTAACTCCTTATATATTAAAATAAAAAAAAATAACCCTCACTTTATACTGACTGTTAATTCTATTAGTTAAAAGTAAATTTTTATCAATTAACAGTTAACTAATAACCAATCAACAAAATTAATAAAATATTATAAAATTAATTATGTTAACTCTGTTAGCTAAAATAGCTGAAAGAAGATTTTTAATAACTAACAGTTAACTAACAGTCAACTAGTAGAACTAACAAAATGTTATAAAGTAAGAACTATTTTCTTTAATTTTAATAAATGAGGGCTAAAAATATTATAGTATAAAGTTAGGTGAGAGGTCAAAAATATTATATTATAAAATAAAAAGTTAAAACCTTCAAACTTGACAAAGTAAGGGGTTAAAGATAAGCTTTTGCGTATAATTCGACTGTCCTTTATATTTTTCTAAATTAATTAATTAAGTAACAATAAAATAACATATTAGCCTTACTTTGTAAAAGAAAAATTATTTTAAAATTATTAAGTATTTGAATTAAGCATTTAAATATAATTAATAATTTTTTTTATCTTGGTTGCAAATCACATCTTACTGCTGTATAACTTGAACTCCATAACTTTTATTTTTAGCGAAAAGAAATAGCCATTGATTTATTTAAATAGTTAACAAATATAATTAATAATTAATAATCGATATTTAATAATTATTATAATCTATAATTTATAATATTTAATTATATTATGATATAAAATGAACATAAAATAATTTTAAATAAATTTATATAATATTTTTAATAAATTTTTAAAAAATATTAATTATATAATAATATTTTATACTATAAATTTATAATATCAATAATATTATAATTATATTATTTAGTTTATAAACACTTAAAGTGGCATTTTCCATCATTTTACTTTTAATAAACTAGTGAGAAAAAACTTAAAATAAATTAATTTATATTTTAAAAATAAAATATTTCAATTTTAATAAGGGTGGAGGACACACATTTTCCATCATTTTACTTTTAATAAACTAGTGAGAAAAAACTTAAAATAAATTAATTTATATTTTAAAAATAAAATATTTCAATTTTAATAA